TCTGGAGCCTTTTTATATTTCTTGTCAAGATTTATTTGTTAACAAAAACTCCTTTCCCATAAACTTTTGCACAAATTGAACACAAAACATGCTAAACAAGTATTCAAATGAAAGTTTAATAGTGTTGAATGTGTCAACATTACAATGAAATAACATGGAATACTTTTGTTAAGAATAAAATAGAATAAAATGGAATTATTATAGCTAATAAATTTCAATTTATTCAAAAATTGAATTTCGAAAATATTCCATGTTCTTGAAAACAAACAGTTGTAATATGTATATAATAATATATAGTATACTGGTATATGTGTTAGGAAAATAAATAAGAGTGTCGGGAAGTAGAATTGTCAAAATAAATGTTAATATAATATAATTTTTAAAGTTTCAGATTATAGTTTGAGGTTTCGGATTATAGTTTCGGGGTTTCGGGTTTCGGAGTTTAGGTTTTTTTTTTTAAAAAAAATCCGAAACTAGTTTCGGATTAGAGCTTTCCGAACTAGTTTCGGGTAGGTTTCGTTTCGATTACCAACTCTAGACGACACCATATTTGAAAGACCATTCTAGAAACATAAATTTTAGGGGTCATGGAAGTTTAACTCAGAATCAGTGAACAAAATTTCCAGGTAATGTAACCTGAGACCAACGAAATTTATCGAAATAACGTATATGAAAAGTCGAGCGAAAATCTCCGATATTTTACAATAGCTTTTGTGTTCTGTACAGAATTCTGGAACTTGTGGTGCTTAAATACAGTGACAATTTTACCGAACCGTTTTTTAAATTTCCTTATTTGGGGCATAACCAGTCATTGAACTTTTTTATCAATTTGAAAATTTTGATTCAAATTAAAGTACCGCTTTTTACCATACGTTGATATAATAATTTAACGAGATAATTGGCCAATCAATGTTTATAATCGCATGGATCGCATGACGTTGTTTTATTCAATAATTGATATCTAAAAATAACCAACAAATTCAGGGATAAAATGCTATTTTCTCAAAATGGAAAACCCCCTTCAAGACGCGTTTTCCTAGTCTACATCAATTAACCAATCAAATGGGGTGATCTACGTAGATTAACCAATCAAATCGTAAAATTTTTACAATACAAGGAAAAAAAAAAACTTTGAAAACATAAGAAATAAGGAAATTTGAAAACGGGTTCAGTAAAATTGGTCAAATACAGAAATATAAAGAACTATTGTACCCGTCGAATTCTATATAAATTGACCGAATTCGACAAGCTATTTTGTTCGCAATCAAAAATCACCAATTTAATTAGCATTTTTTTTAATTAGCTGTATAATGTATAACGAAGAAAGCTCACAAAATATTAACAATAATCTACCTACAGAATGGACCGTAGGCTTTACTCAAGATCAAGCTGATATGAATTTGCTGAACATTTATAATAATCCATCAATAGAATGGCCCGCTGACTTTACTCAAGGTTACGAAAATCAAATTAATAAAAGTTTATCTACAGAATGGCATAAGGACTTGTCTCAAGACCAAACTCATATATGTTTGCCAAATGGTTATAATAATTCATTCATCGAATGGTCCGAAGGCTTTAGTCAAGATCAAGCTAATAATAATATACCTATCGCTATAGAGTGGTTCACAAATAATGATCCGTTTATGAAATGGGATACAGGTTTTACTCAATATCAAACTAGTACAAGTTTATTAAACACTTATAATAATTCGATATAGAATTGTCCACAGGTGTTACTCAAAATGATGAGAATCAAATTGATTGTAATTCATCTTTAGAATGGACAGCATTCTTTACTCAAGATCAGACTAATACAAGCTTGCTAAATATTTATAATGCTCAACATTGTGAGGAACAAATTAATACTTTACAACAACATGATACAAAATCAGTTAAAAAGAATGAACATCTAGTTTCACTTGTCTCTAGGAGTAAAAGAAATTCAAGACATCTAAAATGCAAGAAATGTAATTTAAGCAAATATCACTATGATGTAAATCCCAATCTATGTAAGGATTGTTATCAGGCCTCATTGCGATTTTAAGTGGTAATAAATTAATAGATGATTTTATCGAATCAACACAAACTTTTTATAAAAACTGTAGAAATAAATCAAAATTAGAATTTATTCCATATGAACAATTTACTAATATCGAATACCTTGCTAAAGGATGATTTAGTGTAATATATAAAGCAAAATGGGTTGATGGTCCTATTACACTATGGTGTTCTAAGGAGCAAAAGTACAAACGGCGTAAAAATTATAATGTTATTCTTAAAATTTTGAATAATTCTGAAAAAATGGATGCTGATTTTTTAAATGAGGTCTATATATATTTCTATAATAATATTTGTATAATTGATTTAATTAAGTTTAAAATTTAAAACTTACTACTATATTATTTTATTTGTTATTTTAGCTAAAAAACTTTTTTCACTGCAAAAAAAAATTTGATAGAAGTATATATAATGGACTTCATCAATATCTCAGCATCACACAACACCCTGAAACAAAAAATTTTATAATAGTTATAGAATTTGCGCTGAATAGAGACCTACATTTTTTTCTAAATAAAAATGCTTTACCCTGGCAAAAAAAATTATAGCTATTACATTTAATTTCAATCAGGCTTAATTTAGTACACAAAAATAAAATCATTCACTGTGATCTTCATAGTGGCAATATTCTTATTGGTCACTATAACGGCTATTCTACAACACCAACGATTGCAGATTTAGGAATAAGCAAACCAATAGATGAATTGTCAGATAAGAATGCAATCTATGGTGTTATTCTGTATATTGCACCAGAGGTGTTAAAAGGAGAAAGGTTTACACAAGCTTCAGATATTTATAGTTTTGGTATGATTATTTGGGAGGTAATAAGTGGCTGTAGGCCATTTTCTGATCATAAACATGATGAATATCTTATTCTGGATATTCTTAATAGTCTTTGCCCAAAAATTCCATCTAGCATTCCTCAAGATTTAATTGAATTGATGGAAACATGTTGGCATCAGGATCCTGAAAAAAAAAATTATGCAAAAAGAAAATTTACAGTTCAGAAAAAAGGATTCTTAAGCCGGTATGAACTAAATGAATTGCGAGAGGAGCAGAGGAATGGTGGTCTGGCAAATGCGTTAAGTAAACTTATTGAAAAAGCAAATAAAGGAGAAATAAAATTTCCAGAAAATATAGATACAAGTATTTTGCCAACTAAAACAAATGATCAAGCAATTTACTCTAGTCGACCATTAATTCAATTGATTAGTAAAGCATTGACTTTACAAAGTATGCGATTAGATAGTAATGTAATTACAGGTGAGAGAATATATTGTATTGAATTGTATATTTCTTATTTTAAGCATAAACTAATATAAATCATGGTTATAATAATCAATTATATTAGTTATTCAAATGGTAATAATGTAGAAGCTAAACAATAATCAAACAGGTGACTCAATCAATTTATTTTGGTATAAGCAAACAGTAAATAGAAATTTGGCTATATTTACAAAAAGTTTTAGCAAGAAACCCCATTCTTAAATTTGTATAATTTTATTCAAATTTTTGAATTCATTCTTTAATACATTTTTTTTAGACTTTATTTTTGACCAAATATTGATATATATAGATTCATAGCTTATCAAAATAAATTTTCTGTATAAATCTCTAACAGTTCTATTGATTAAATCCGGATATAAATAAATAAATCTGGACGCAAGTTTAATAAATTGACAAAGATCAATACATTGAAATAGATAGATTTATATTATAATTGAGCATCTTATAAATACAAGTATCGTGATTATTTTAAGTTCCTGGCTTAAGCAGCAATACATTCAATAGTATACAGACTGAAATAATAAAAAAAATTATGAGAAATTTGATTTCAAAAATATTTTAGTAATATTTCAGAAATATTTATGCAAAATTACAATAATTTACCACCCTACTATTATGAATATACGGGTTAATAAAGGCATCAAACATATGAAATAAATTTTGTAAACATAAATATGGATATAAAACAGAATTAGATAGAAATATTAAAGATGAGCTAACATAAATATGTTTATATTCGGATAGATATATATATATTTAAATATTGGTATAAAATTTACAAATGAAATGATATCAAATTTTATGGTCATTTTTCTCATTTATCCTTTTTTTGATCGTCCTTTTTCTTATTGTCCTTTTTCTCATCGTCCTTTTTTTATTATCTTTTTTCTCATCTTTTTACTCATCATCCTTTTTCTCATCATCTTTAGGATTAATAACTTTAGTATCAACCTCTAGATCTTTTTCTTCAGCCTTTTCTTCTTTTTTATCTTTCTTTTTTGGGAATTCACCTGGAAGCCCTTCCAATTTAATTCCTGCGCATTTACTATAAACTCTTAATCCCAATTGCAATTCCCATTCATCTTTCTTTTCCTTATCATCCTTTTTCTCATCATCATCATTATCATCATCAGCATTATAATCATCATCATCATCATCATCAGCGTCCAGTTGCAAGATTCTTAATACGTTTTCCTTTACGTTTTTTAGCCTCAATTTCTGAATCTTTTCTTGCTTTGGTTCTTGATTTTCCTCAGTTCAGTCGATAGTTTCATGGTTTACATGTGGAATAATTACATAGTCAACAGCTGGAAGTTTAACTTCATGGTTTATACTACAAGAAGCGAAAGCAAATGTCGAACGACTACGGGCAAAGTAAGAAGAAGTTTCACCATCTTTGAATACACAGAAACTTAATTGATAACTTTTTTTTAAAAAAGATAAATAATATAATTAAGATGAACAAGTACTGTAATAACGACAAGAAATTAATAATGAAAAGAAAATCATACTCATATTTAGGCTCATCACAAAAATATCTATCATCAGGTTGTTGAAGAACTATAATCAGATGACATTCTACAGGTAAACTTAGTTTAAACTTTCAGTGCAACATTATAATTAATCCAAGTCATGTAAATAGTCCAACTTGAATCAAATAATCTACATTTATAAATCATATCCCAATAATTAAGGAAATCGTCATAACACATCCAGAAAGTACCATCATCACCGAATCTGTAGTTTAGTTGAATCATACGTTCAGGAGTCCATTCTTTACTTCCATCACTCCAAGCACCTTTTTTTTTAATAAATAAATATAATTAGGAAAATATTATTATGGGAAATATCATTATAAAAGATAAAAATTTATAAAACATACTTTTAATTGAATTGACATACCATTCTATTCAGCTGTTCCCCAAGGATTTTTTATTTGTAAAAGTTTAATTCTATCATCAGTCTCAGCAGCACGCAAAATACTAGACATGACCACTAATAGTTCCTTTTAAATCTTTAATATCTTTATCACTAAATTCAAATCTGGCACATCCTAATAATAAGTTATTATTAACATTTTTTAATACATCATTCAAAAATTTTTCTTTATCCAAGATATCAGCGGTAAATTGCAGTATGTAGGCATTACCAGTTATATCTTCTATCCCTATTTAAAGAAATCAAATAATCATGAAATCAGGAGCAGTATTTAATTAAAGTATGATGTATAATCCTAAAAATAAATTATGAAAATTAAGCTTTAAATGTGTCTAATGAAGTGATACTGAAAAATAGAATAAAACAAAGTGCAAGGTTTCACTAATAATAAATTATTTGCATTGTATTAATTTATTGAATTAATCATTAATCATACTTGGGCGATGTAAATTAGCCAATTATATAAATATTTTTCTATAATACTTGGTATAGGCTGGCATGTGCTAAAAACATTGTGGTACTGGCACTGGCACTAGAAAAGTTCAAGGAATTATAAAAAAAATTGCAGACACTTAGACACTAGCATTTCTGCCCTGCATAGTGCCAACAGTGCCTGGCAAAATACCAATTGTGCTAAGCATGCTTACTTGAAGAACACGTTATTATATAATTCTTTTATCAAACATATAGACGAGTTAACATATTGAATCAAAATTTATCAAATTTTTATCCCTTGAAAAAAATACATTAATCGACGGATGTGCTGTATGCAAAATGTATATAGACCAAAGATTATTTTACATATTAAGAAATCGATAGTGCCTTTTCCCTTCGCTGCCTAGCTTTAGTCTAACTCTTTCAAGTGCTCCTATCTAGTCCTCCAAAAAAGAAAAGGAATGAATAAATGAAAAGAGATACTCAAGAACACTTGCTCGCTAACTGAAATTATGAACTATAATTAAAAATTGTGAGGAATTATAAAGAAAAAGGGAAATAGTGTAGCTTGATAACTTTTTACCAACGTATAGATATTTTGCTCTGTAACTTGCTTCATGAAACTCATGTATGTTTAGTACTGTAATGCATATTGGAAATTGCTATTAAGAATCAAAGTTTGACGAGGAAGCATAAAAGGAAGGAAATGAATGGCTGGGACTTGCTTACTGACGTATAGATGGGCTTGCTTGGTAACTCACTCTCTGACACTCGTACATATAAATATGACGAAAAAAATCCAAAGTAGCAGTATGTTATACACGTACTCAAACGTGATCTTGTCAAATAGTCTGTAAATATTCATATTATGATTATTAAGAAATCCTGTAAATCATAAATGTAAATTATGGTCATGTTAATAGTCGCACAACTCCCATTGTGTTATTTCATTTAATTAATAAACTGATCCGAGCGAGAATAATGAAAAGTTTTTATATTTCCGCATATTGATAATAAAAAAAGGTCATTCGTATTTTGTCCTTTCTCACGTATAGACATCACGTAAAAACTCCTACATATAATTTTCCGTATATTGATAATAAAAAAGGTTTTTCGTGCTTGTATTCCGCCTCATGCATAAGCCTCAGCCTGCATGTAGACTATAGAATATTCTAAGAATATATTTTTTGGGTCATGGAAGAATTCTTGAGTCTGTAATGTTTAAATATGGAATGATTTACTTGAATTAGAATCTTCTATTGTGAAATACGAATTCTATATAAATTAACCAAATTCGAAAGCAACTTTGTCCATAATCAAAATCATAAATGTAATTTTCTAATAACGTTTTAAATTAGCTGTATAATGTATAACGAAGAAAGCTCACAAAATATTAACAAGAATCTATCTACAGTATGGACTGTAGGCTTTACTCAAGATCAAACTAATATAAATTTATTGAACATTTATAATAATCCATCAATAGAATGGCCCGCTGACTTTACTCAAGGTTACGAAAATCAAATTAATAATAGTCTATCTACAGAAAGGCATATGGACTTGACTCAAGACCAAACTAATCTAAGTTTGCCAAATGTTTATAATAATTCATTCATAAAATGGTCCAAATCGCAAGGCATAACTCCCCAACAACAATGGAAGACATATTTACAGCAGCTAACGCCAAGTCAACCCAATCACATACGTCATTTATCTAGTTACATATCACAGTAATATACGAGATATGGGTCTGGTTCACAAACAAGCAATGGGGTAAGGGCACGATGCCAGAAC